TATGTAGACGGGAACACGTCCACGTCTAGCCTCTTTCGCGATTGCGCAAAAATCATTTGCATGACAATGAGCAACGACCGCGTGCCACGTGGTTCAAATGATCGACCGAGAGGAGAAAAAAAAAAAAAAATATGCAGCGACTCTGAGAAAAGTCTGTGAGAAAATCGAATAGGCCAAATCGACGAATCGTACATCGAAATCTATCGTAATGTCTTTGTATCAAATAACCGACAATGTCTTAACCGACACCATTTGACCGACATTGATTTCGCCGACATGGTGACAATGTTTACATTGTTTTAGGAAAAACTTGAAAACAAACTGACTTCGTATCGTAAATTGCATGAAATAATAATTCCACTGAGAAATAAATGTTCGACAGACAACACGCGTGTCGCGCAGTTTTTCTCAGATTACACACTTATTTATACATGTATACACCGCCCTTAGGACAAGTACTGTATTTGTAATTGTATATATTTGCAAAAGAATATAAATATAAATATAAAAATAAATATAAATATAAATATACTTTACAATAAATATAAAAAGTACTTTGTACAACAAAATCAACATATTAATATATTATATTATATTACAAAATATATACACGCCATCCACGATGCCGAATATTAAAAATAAAAAGTGTCCCAAGACTTTCGAGTCGAAAACTCAACTATTTACATTGGTAGATGGTTGCATTAATTAGCAAACGCGTTACACACCTTGAAAAAACACTCATAAATTTGTTACTTTGCAGATACTTCTAAACGCAAGAGGTAAAGCAATTTTCATAAAAAATATATTAAAAATTATATTTTCATAAAATATAAAGCAAGAAAGATTAAATGTTAACGCAACGTTAATTCGCTGGTGCGTGTATACTCACTTCCTGCAATTTTATAGGATGCGTCTGTAACATAACCTATAACACTTGCAAAGCTGCGTGGTCATTAAATATACTAAGCTATTTAAACGCGTAACGCATCCAAATATCGATAATCAGCGCGAGATCGAGTTAAATGGCACTCGGCGACGACATTAACCAGTGTACTGACACGAGACGTCGTTAAATCGAATTACAGACGTACGCAAAATGCATGAGAAGCCTAAGCACAAAACTATTTTCGTTGAAATTGGAAAATGTCTAATTCCTCAGTCGCGTACAGTGTTCGATTCGACGCAGAAATGTGAATTATTTGAAATATAAGATCTGAAAAATCTTGTGCCATGGAATATTGGTAATACAATGTAGTTTGTAATATTATCTTCGACTTGTATAAAATATATCAATTTATTGTTAAAATTGAAGCGTGAGATTAAATGTACAAATTGATACATTTTTTTCAAACACCCGTCACGGGAGCAATATTCCTTTCTGTAGTTTCAGTTTTACAGGATGAGTTTAGTACTAGAACACTTTTATAATTACTGAAAAATTTTAAACTACCGACAAATTTTTTAAATTATTTATATATGATTTTTATCAATCTCGGAATGAGTTTTAAGAGAAATACCAAAAAGTACGTCGCAATTTCTTGCATACTAGTTCTGGATATGCTGAATTTTACATTGAAGTCAAATTTATTTGTCCAACTTTACCCAAGATGAAAATGTAGCCGAAATGGTTGTATCCAGAGCACGAGATATCAAAGCAAGAAAACTTTCGGAGGAAATTTTACAAGAAAAACACAAAGAAATACGCTACACTAAAGAATATCATACTAGAAAGTCATTGAAAAAAATATGGACTTGATTAATTTCCTTATCTCAAGTTCCAATTCCGCAGTTGCAGTATATCAACAAAAGTCGACTAAAATAAAGAGGTCTGATTACAATGGAATTCAGGAGTATGTAATAATGGATGATTCAAATGAAGAATTATCTCAACAGTAACGACGAATCTTCAGAAACAAGTTTATAGACTCGGCGTGAAACTTAGAATTGCTATTTTTATAAAAAATATACTTTTTATGTAAACAATATTATACATAAATATATTATTTAGATGAACAACATATTATACATCGATATATGATTTACGTAAACAATACATTATATATAACAATACATATTACGTAAAAAATATACATTATCTGTAGTTATAAAATTATATTTTCTAATATAACAAAAAAAGCCCATGAATGCAAGCAAATAGCAAATGTTTTTTTTACAAAAATTTTCATTCAGAGAGGTTACTTTTTCGCCATTTTCTTACATGTATCGAACACTGTGCAGCGTCCGGGGCACGTACCGTTGACACGTGACGCGTTTGCATCGTTCGATTCCACGTTAACTGGAAAGACAGACACAAAGAATTCACGCATCGACTGCGGTCGCTTTTTAGTCAAATGAGGGAAAACGAAGACGCAAAAACTAGAAACTCCGTTCAAGCAGAAAACGATTTGTATGAAATCTGTTCTCTACGATGGAAGAAGAAAAATTTACGAACAATCAAACAACACAGTTATTCCAATAAAACGAACGTGCGCGCGTTCTTTGTTTATCGGCGATATCTGAGCGTACGTGAAAAAAATAAATCGTATCTTGGCGACTGTCGACAGCTACGAGAAACAGCTCGTGGCTATTTACCGGAAGATTATTTGGAAATGGTAACTGCTCGAACGCATCACACAATGAACTGACACACCAATCGGCACAAACGACAAACCGATACACGTACGTATGTACTTATTACTAATCGTTCAGAAGCACTCGCGATAACGGGGCCCCGATTATTTCGTAACTTTCCTCGGCGCTCTGCGTCTCTCGTTACCGACAGCGATCTCTAGATGCCTAATCGAGATTACCGCAGAGAGTACCACAGTGTATATCGTAGCGCGAGAGACCGCGCCACGAAGCGCGTTTTCTCGAAAAGGAGAGTCGACGTAACGGACTACTCTCTTGTGCCACGGGGACAGGTAAAAGAAAGAAAGGGGCGAGAGAAAAATGGTTTCGACAGGGACTGAACATGGAGACCGAAGAGTCGCCTATGGGGCGGGTCGCTGGTATAATCACTTTGGTCGAGGCGAAACAAAGAGAGGGTGGCGACGTGGCCAACGATTCGTTTGCGGGATCGAACGAGCGCAAAAAGCGTTCTCGTTCTGTCTGTGACACAACATAACACGTGAACGAGGAAATTCCAACAAGCTACTATAAGGGACCTTTGCTAATGAATGCTGTTACTAAAGGTCGCGAAAGAGAGAGATAGAGAGATAGAGAGAGAAAGATTCAGCTTTCGGGAAATCTGTGGCCTTGGGCAAGCTTGGAGTTTTCAAGCATCTCGAACGGAGGCTAGGAGCGCTGCTATTGGACGATATTCAAAAACGGTTGACACCGCCACGAGAAGCAAAAAGAGGCTCGTGTCCTTTCCGAACACACAAATTGATCTGCTTCGACGAAGCCGGCTGTGTCTCGTTACGATGATTCCCGTCGATGCCTATCGCGTTTGTATTCGACATTCGGCAACGCGTGCAACACAATTCGAGAAGCGAGACAGCCGCGTTGATCGTGGCTGTACGTGGTAGAGCCTCGAGAGCGCGTTTGGAGGTTACATTTCCAACGTAACGCTCTTCTCGCTGACTCGCAGCGAGCCGAGCAGGATGTCGGAAGAGCGGGAATCGGTTACTCACCGTTCGATGAACGTCTACCTTTTCGCACGCGACGCACTTCTCCCATGCAATGCAAAAGAAACTCGCGACGAATAAACGAATAATCGGATAATGTGAACACGATATGGACGAACACAAGCACACTCACAGGTCACAAAACAGACTGAAGCTCGCACTGCACTGGCCGGGCAGCTCTCCTCGACGTTGCTACGAGACCGACCACAGGAACGACGCCGTCGCCCTCTGCCAACGTCGCCACAACCTCGCAGCGCTTGCTTTCCCGCCACATTTCAAACGCTGCCACGTTTCTAACTTTTCACTTACTATCGAGATTGAAAAAAGACGCTTCGGTCAGAGTTCTGTAGAATTGCAAAATTTATATTATACGTATATGTCAACAATAGAGTTATAAGTTAAAAACTAATCGTGCAAACAGTTTCAGTTTGCAAAAAGTTACATTTCTGTATTTATTGTTGCCTTAAATTAACGGGGGCCTGTAAAACAACAGAAAGCTGAATATTAATCAAATTATTAATTACTGTAACAAAAAAACCGTATGATTAACGAAGATTTTCAATGTTACGCATAATTGACGGCAAAAAGATCAAGTTGACCTTTCACCGATACCGAGACTAAACCTTATTAGCAATTGAGTCTCCGTTAAGTATAGATCTGTAGAACTGAATTTTGTGCTAAAAGTGAATATGTAAAAAGTATTAGAAGTGAAATTGTGGACTTTGTTCAAACGCTCACATTGCTGAAAAGAATTTGAGAAGCAGAAGCATCAGAGGATATTGAAGGCAGTTCAGAGGCATCTGACATAATCAAGTCTAACGCAATCAAAGCTTAATCTACAATCACTGATTAACTAGAATAGACTGGGCATCCAATACTTTTTCGTGTCCCATGTTTTGGTCACCAAACATCCATGTCATTTTCATCACATCCTACCATATCGATTTAAATAGGTTTTGCATCGCAGCGCCACTAGTAATGGGAATTAAAATTAGAAAATATGAATAATGTTACATCTGCACTGAAAATTATTTGATTTATTGAATTGAACGTGTACGCTTTCTCATTTGCATGACTATTTCTTAAGAGATGACCAATTTAATTTCTGACTGTAACATAATTATCTTCTATATAAATTAGCATTTAGTATATGTCAGCAGAGTTACAAGTTAAAAACTAACTGTGCAAGTGTAGTTTCAGTTTGCAAAAAATATAGAAATTACAGTATTTATTGCCTTAAATTAATAGGAATTATAAAACAACAAAAATCTAAAAGTTATGAAATTATTAATTACTGTAATAGGAGTTAGGGTGCAATTCAACTAGCACAACTGTCGGTTTGATCAATAGTTACAGAAAACGTGATACAACGCGTAATGGTTAACGATATAATGTATATTATTTATTTCGTCATGTTTTAAATAAGATCGATACATTGATAAAATACCACAAATATCTATAACATTTACAATCTTGATGATCTTTGGTTGCGCTTTCACACGTACATGTACATCGTTAAATTATAAAATACATATAGAAATATAATACAACGTTATTGCCCAAAGTATTCTATACCTATGAACACTTGTTAAAAATTAATATTTTTGTGCATATTTTGGCATAAGCGCGCGATGTTGAACGTTGAGAATTTACACTTCAAAGAAAAAGAAGAAAGAAAAGAAATGAAAGATTCGTAACTCAGGTACTTTTGAGTAAACCTATCGAATTGACGGTCTTACTTTTCGGCACAAATTTGTATCCTCGGAAACTTTAGTCGTCTAACAATAAGTACTGTATGGCACTGTTCAATCCTTAACACTACCTAACGCAATTGTTCTTTGTCTTCGATCTGGAAGAAACATTTACATATAGAAATATTTATTCTATCTAAATTTTTTTAACTACGCGATACGTTCTATTTCCTTCGTTAAATTCTATTTGAAGATAAATATTTCTGTTTATCCTTGTCAAATTTCTTTCAATGAAGCGACGTCACCGGACGCATCACTCGTCAGAAAATTTGAGCAATAACGTTGGATTATCCACCTTGTACAGTTCCTTGTTAGTCTTCCTCGTTCATCACTTGAGGCACAAGCAACGTTCACTGATTACTTCAACACGTGCCACACGGTAACTAACTTTCTGGGGTTTTGAAGTATAGAGAACCAATGTAACCTTTCTGTTGAGCCTCTGACTCCCTTGCCAAGCGCCACTTTACCGATAGAAATGTCTTTCCATTTTTGGGCCGACGTCACCGAATCCTCGCTGTCACTCGCATGCTCCATGTTGCTCGCAGCAACCTCAACAGGCGCGGCCTAAAATATTTCCCAATCACGAGATTTTGCTCGTTTCGCGTTTGTAAATTGTCGTTGGAATAGATACGCACTCTGCTGCACAGTATCACGAGGAACTGAACTATGTCCAATTGATTGTACGACACGTCGAACGTCAAAGTCTCGTTAAATTCCGGCTGCGAGCTCGCGCTGACGAATTTCGTCTTCTTCTTTTTCATTCGCTGCCCTGTTCTGCCATTGAGCATTAGTACCCTGACGTAAAAACCTGAAAGCGACGAGCAATAATGAACGACGTAAAAAGATAAGCGCAAGAGGAGCACGACGCTTACTAAAGTCCTTCAAATTCGACACTGTTGGCGTATACTTGACGTCGCGCACTTTCATCACGTTTATAGTCAGTCTCTGCGCTGTCGGTAAATAACTTATGGCTAATAAAATATTCCCAAACTCCTGTAAATGTGAAATAAAGAAATTACCCGATCGAAATGTTTATTTATTTATAACGTAAATGTTGCACGACGGTACCAAATTGGACGGCTTCATTCTGAAGTTGAACATATGAATTTCCGGGCTTTGTAGAACGTGCTTCGCCTCTTTCAACGACACCTTGAACGAGCTCAATTCCGTGTCGTTGGCGTATCTGTCGCGATCATACGCCGCAAAGTCGAGAATCCATTCCTAGAAAGGAGAATATACATTCCAGCAGGTATGCGTAAAGCAAATCTTTCGGAAAACACGTCAGAGATTTTTATCGTTCGTGTTTTCTTTCTAGAAAATGTCAAGCCAAACGCTGAAACGCTCGCTCGAACGTTCGTTTCCTTTTTACGAGGAAATAATGGTTCTCGTTCGAAGGTAGAGCTTCGCGGTAGATGCGTTTCACGAGTGACGTGTTTCCCAACCTTGAGTTAAATACACGCACGAACGCACGATGCAAATAAAAACGTACGTGTGTTTACCTTAACTTCGTGAGGCTTCACGTTCGCCACGACGAACGTCTCCTTAAAAACAGGACTCGCGGTATGCCTGACACTCCTCGTTCGAAAACTGTGTAACTTCTCCCGTTTCCTCTGGCTCCACGATTGTTTCGTTATGTTTAGAGCCACGTACGGCTCTAAGGTGCAGTTGTATTGCTTCGGCGGAAGGCCGGATAACGCCTGCACAACGTCGAGCTTTTATCTTTGGTTCAGAAAGTAACTAATCATGCAACTCTTAGTGAGTTTAATAAGAACGTGGTTCATTTTTCTGAAAGAAAACATTCTTTTTGTCAAAAATTCTTGCACAGATCGAAAGTTCATCTAAAATACAATTACGATTAACAGTGTGTCCAATCTCTACCAAGGCAGGCAAACATCTCGATATTTCTCGAATTCTACGACTTAGACTTTCCATTGTTAAAACACGTGTCCTTTCTGAAGCAATCTATGCTTCGTGATGAGTATTTTCTTCAGAGAAATGGCGCCCACGTTCTTACTAAACACACTGTACCAAGTAAATGTTGATAAACAGTGCATAATTTCTGTTGACGCGTTACGCTGCATCGTGACATGGGGTCGTTGCTTGTTTGAAACATGTAGGTAACAGGGTTCTACGTTATCGAACGAAAACTCGAGAATCAAACGCCGACTCCCTCGAGATGATAATGACTCAGTTTCCGTTATATCCGAGAAAGTAGACGTAAAAAAAGGAGATTACTTAATACCTCGATACCGATAACGAGCTTCCCGGTGATAGTCTCGTCACATGGCGGCAGGTACTGCAAGCTTATCGTCAGTTCCGTCGGGAAATTACTTTGTTTCCTGTCCTTTTGTTTCTGCTTGTCTGCTGTTCCTCTCTCCACCAAATTCTGCAATGTATCGCGCGCTGATGAATTAACGAGCGCCATCTACGTGCAATTGAAGCAACGGAGCTTACCAGAGTGGACGAGGTATCGGCACAACCGAAATGAACGTTGTTGGAATTCCAAGAATTCCCCTCGAGCGGGCTTGCGTTTTCGTCGATCGTGCCTGCGCAATAATCATCGAGACAAAACGTGAAACGAGGCAAAAACAGGGAGGGTGACGATTGATCGACAGACGGTGTAACAAAAACGAACGTAATTGTAAACGACATTACCATTGCTGCTGCCCTCGTACAAGCTGCCCAATCTCCACGATCTGTAGCTGACATCGTTCAACTTGACGTTCTCATTCTGTTTGCTCTTGACGCGCAACGACGGCACACTTTTCGCTTCTCTCTCTGCAAAGAGTCGTTCTTGGCTTTAGTTACGCAATTCCGCGAACAGCCACGATGCCTCTGACAACGGGCGCTAATTATTTACGCTCTTTGGTTAACGTATCTAACGTATGTCTGCAACAATCAAGCCTTGAAAATTCGAACGTCGCGTTCCGAAGGGAACAAGGTATGTACCAGATGTGTATGTACAGGGTGATCACTGAAAGACTGAATGATATAAAGCAAAAGTAACTTTTACAAACACACGTTTGTTTAATTTTTTATTATTTTATTTGGAAATATAATTAATGGATTTTTTTTTTGCAGTATTACGGAAAAACAACATCCCTCAAACGACCACCATTTATGACTTTTTGCTTTTTACAAGTTACGACTTTTTCAGGTTTTCAGTGACCACGGTGCTCAAGTGTGCGTGGTAGATAAGCAAGCGTGTGCGAAAAAAAAAGCTGTCGGAATTAACCTCTTGCGCTAAGTAACTGGTTCGCGGACCATAACGAGTGACCAATATTGTATACAATAATTCATCTTCTTTTTGAATTATAGATAGAAGAAATTAGACTAGATTAGATAGAAATTACTAAGAAGTAATAAACTTATTATTTGTTTTGTCTGGATTGTATTACAATATACTTAATATATATAAAACTGAGAAAATATTGCAATTTTGGGCCAAATATTCTTAACACGCGTGGCACGTCATTCCAGGGCAAGAGGTTAGGAAGTCGTAAGTTGAACTTGTTACTACGACGATTAATGCGTAAATTGCAATGCAACGTTTTCTACAGATGACATCGAGACAAGGATTTATAAAACTTTCTGTTGTGCTGCGCGGAGAGGCGTTTTCCTAGCGGTGCAGCCAGTTTACAGGATGACACACGTAATTACGTAACATTGCGGAGGAAACGAAGGAAACAGTTGTTTGCATGTGTGTATAAATATAACTGTGGGAACAATGGCGTAACGTATCAACCGCGTATATATGTACGTACGACGATTCACGACGCAGGAATTTAAGCTTCATTCTTTTCAGAAAAGACACCATTGCTCGTCATTGCACGAAGTTTCTCGCGTTTCCACCTTTCTTCAGACAATTTTGTGCTCAAAATTGGGCCGTGATGTCGAACAAACATTCGCAAAAAACAACGACAGAGTACAATCTGTGGAGCTGAAAGTCTCGTTTCGTGACTAGTCGTCGCAGGGGCACTTGTCATTTCAGTTTTTACGTAATCTCGGAACGCGGAATCTCTGTGTTCCACATAGTAATTGAAACGCGTCGAGCATCGTTCCGCGAGTGGACAAACGCGAGCATCCGGCAAACCGAGCCGAAAGCACCTCTTTTGCTTCGAAAACTATCAAGAGCGAGGCGTATCGTGCGATTTGTTTTCCCGGCGAGGCGTTTCGTGTATATGTACAGGCAGGCACGTGTGCGCGGAAGCAGGGCTCGCAAACGTGTCGAGAAAATTAAACGCCATTAGCCTGGCTTAGTCGTCAGACGCCTCCGCGTTTCAATCAACACAAAGCACTGACACGAGCCGCCTTGCCGCAAGTTTCGACAGCCAATAAAACGGAACGCCTCGCCGCGTCACACGCAACATCACATGAACGGCGAAATAAACCATCCACCCGAGAATACAGTTCGTTCGAGCGTTCACTCGAGCGGATCTACGTTTCAATGGTACAGTGCGTTCAGTAAGAATGTGAACGTCATTTCTCTGAAAAAAATATTCTTTTTGCAAGAAATCTTGCACAGATGGAAAGTACTTACTACGCTTAAAATACAAGGTGCGCCAAAAGGCCCTTTTCCCACATATATATATATATATTTTAATAAAACATCAAAATGTGAGAAGAAACTAATTTCATTAATTTTAAATTAAATTTTAAACTAATTTCATTAATTTAATGTCAAATTAAATTAAATTTAAATTTAAAATTTATTTTCGTAGGAAGTGATTTTTGGCTGACACTATACTATTACACAGTCAATCGATAATGTGTCCAATCTCCACTGCTAGCTTTCCACCAACTTTTCAACGTACAAGACAGGCAAAGACCTCCGTATTTCTCGAGTTCGATAACTCAGGTTTCCCATTGTTAAGACACGCGTCCCTCGCAGTCTATGCTTCACGATTGACCAAATATTTTCAGTTGGATCGGCATCGGGGGACCGAGACGGCCAATCCAACACGCTGATACCGTTTTCCCTTTTTCATCGCGTGCAAACGCCACTTCGATGCTTGGGATCGTTATCTTCCTGAAGTATCCAAGACTGGTTTCCTTCGTCAAACCAGTGTTTCACAGACGTTAAAAGTCCTCTATCGTACAATTTGATCGTCATCCGAGCGTCTCGATTGTTCGCAAAGACGCGTAAAGTCCCCGTTGCGACTTACTCGTGGCTGCACTGGCCGTATTGTCGAGTGTGGCTTCTGGGTATTGATACGTGTGTTTAATGGATCGTGAACTTGTCTTGTCTAACTCTAAGTGAAACTTCAACTTGCAAACGAGACTGCTTTACTTCGCGAAGAACTACAAATTCTTTACGTGTTGATTACTCGTTGAAATCATAGAGATTCTTCTTCGTTGAAAATTATAATCGTTTCTGATTCGTGTTGATTGCTCGATGAATAATATTGCAATGTTTCTGTACGACGTGTAAATTGCAACGTTTCCGACTTCGAGGAAATTATACCGTTTCTGTACGACCGGTGAAAATTGCAACGATTCTGATTCGTTGAAGAGTCTAACGTTTCTCAAGCGCGGCCGCCCGCGAGCCTGTTTCCGTTAGAACGGGCTAGTTCGATCTAGCCAGTCAGATTCAAAGAACGAGCCGTTTAATTGCTCTACTGTAGGTCATTTAAAAACGATGAAATTAAAGCATCGATAAAACGATCGATGCCAACCGTTTCTAAAGGACACTAAACGCAAGAGGCTCGCGAGTCAGCGATCGTCTTGATCTACGCGATGTTTCAGAGCCTTAGATCTAGTAAACGTTGAAAGAAAACGTTCAAAAGAATGTCCAACGGAAATATAAACTAGACCATGCTTCAGAGCACAAGAATGTTTAATATTCTTGCGCCAGCAGTCCCAAAATCCACGAAACATCAAAGCAGCCCCAAACGTGCACTTTTATTGGACGTTTGACAGGTCTCTGGACAATTGGATTTCCAGGTGGATAGACTAGGCTCGTTTGACAGGATACCATGCCAGAACAGAGGATTTGTTGATGAAGACATTAGTTCAATCACGACCGATATTTTCATAGGCCCACGCTAGATATTATTCGACGTGGTTTCGATAGAGTTGGTGGAAAGATTGAACACTTTGCCATTGATTAAGTGCGTGTATGATATTTTAGGTGTACAAATCGATCTGTGAAAGAATTCTTTTTTCAGAGAAAAAACTATAGAGAATAAAATTTACAAAAATAATCTTTTTTTTTTCAGAGAAAGGACGTTGCGAGAATAGAACCAATCGGTATTTGCCTTTCTCGATTGGAGTAAGTATATATAAAAAGCAAGATAAAAGTCAACAACTTTTCAATTTATTTCTCTTTGTACAGCGTTAACGCTGGAACTACCGGCGACTAAAGCATAAAATTTCCATCAGAGACATTGAAATTCAGAAAAACAGAGAAACTTTGTAACACGAGCTTATATTCGTAAATTTTACGAAAAGTTATTCGAATCTTTCAGAATACACTACTTTTACGTCTGTAAAATTTCCAACAAATACATTAGCAAAAATTAAGTTGTTTTAACCACTTCGGTAGTTCCAGCGTGTTAACGAAACGTTGTATCACAGACACTCGGCGGATGTCATCGGAGCATCTGCTTAATTAAAAACAGATGTTCGTCGCTTGTCGTAATAACAGACGCGCAGATACGCAAACGGAGCAGAGCTTACTTCGTCCTCTGATGCATTTGTATCCAAGGCATCCTGGTACGAGGAAACAGGCGATCACGAGCAACAAGACGACGACGGCCAACGCTGCCACCACGATGATCAGAGCTCGGCCCCACGGGCCAGAAAGGACATCGTGCACCATTCACTGGAAACGCACGCGACTAATATTACTCGCGCAGTTCAGAGACGTAGTTTTATAAATGATCGACCTCACGCCGTGAGTCACGGGTAGATCGACGCGAGCTGCCGATTCGTTCCTTAATTTTAATCGTTTTCAACGGTTGATTTCACTCCGACGACGGTCGTTCGAGTTATCGTAATTACCACGTTCGTCAAACCAATACCAGTCCGTCGATCGGCGCGTGGAAAGCAAAGAAAATTACTGCCGTCTATAGGTCACGTTTCGCGTCATGTTCGATACACCTGTCGAATGCGTAGTTCACGATTGTTAAAAGAGGCAGGAAAAATCGAGCCGCGTTGATACACTTCTGTTTCGATTCTGCTGGGAGGAGGGGAGAGCCATAAAGAAGTGAAGTCTTCGTCAAACGAAGTCAAACTGTTCTCCCCCCTCCCTTTTGATTCGTCGCACTCGAAACACTTCGTACACTATGAACACGACATATGGTTGATACCGGCCGAATTAACGAGTCACGTGTCTCAATTTTTACCCAAATACTGCTCGCTCGTGGCAGACGTTATCTGTATGCCAAAGTTTCGCGTTTTTTTTTTTTTTCTTCTATAATATTAATATCACAATAGTAATAATAATGTAATATGCTCAATCTATCAAAGGTGAGACAAAACTACTTTTTCGTCGAAATCGTCTAATCTGGAATTTGTTTGGTTCTTTTATGGTTGGAGGAGGATACTCACTCGGCCAGGGCAGGATCTCATGACGAGAGGTGGTTTTCACGGGTGTTTTCGCGGTGTTATACCTGCACGGCATTCACAGGAGTTGTTCGATGAAACTCGGCGAGCCCGAAAGGACGAATTTTAATCGGGCACGCGTCCTTCGCGAACCAAAGCGGCGGACTTGGTGCGCAATCGTCAACTACCGGTGAACGACGAACGTACGTACGTACGTACGCGGTTGCATAGAACGAGGAACGAGTAACTAACGTGCTATCTACGTGTGCCCCTCTCCAACTTCGACGTCTCAACCTACATACGTACGTACGTACGTGCATACGTACGTACGTGTGTGTATTCCCGCGACGCACAGTCGGCCGGATTGAGAATTCACACGACATTTGTGAATAACTTTTGACTCGTAACAGATGTTACAATGAAATTTAACGTAAAAACGACGTGTCCTCCTTTCCGGAGTGGTGTCCTGTGTCGAACGAGCCTGGTCTGTCCGTGGAAATCCAATTGTCCAGAGAACTGTCAATAAAAATGCACTGTCTGAGACTAGTTTTGGTATCCGCGGATTTGGGACTTTACGATCGTTTGCAAACAATCGAGAGAAACGATCGAATACCTACGAAATTTAATTTAAAATTAATAAAATTGGCTTGATTTTAATTTAAGATTAATAAAATTGGCTTAATTTTAATTTAAAATTAGTTTAATTTAAATTTAAAATTAATAAAGTTAGTTCAATTTTAATTTAAAATTAATAAAGTTTAATTTTAATTTAAAATTAATTTAAATTTAAAGTAAAATTAATAAAATTAGTTTAAATTTAATTTAAAATTAATAAAATTAGTTCAAATTTAATTTAAAATTAATTTGAATTTAAAGTAAAATTAATAAAATTGGTTTAATTTTAATTTAAAATTAATAAAATTAGTTTAATTTTAATTTAAAATTAATTTAAATTTAAAGTAAAATTAATAAAATTAGTTTAAATTTAATTTAAAATTGATAAAATTAGTTTAATTTTAATTTAAAATTAATTTAAATTTAATTTAAAATTGATAAAATTAGTTTAATTTTAATTTAAAATTAATTTAAATTTAAAGTAAAAATTAATAAAATTAGTTTAAATGTAATTTAAAATTAATAAAGTTAGTTTAATTTTAATTTAAAATTAACTTAAAATTAATGAAATTCATTTAATTTTAAGTTTAATTTTAATTTAATTTCAATTTAAATTAAAAATTAATAAAATTCATAAATTTAAATTTAAAATTAATGAAATTCGTTTAACTTTAATTTAATTTCAATTTAAATTAAAAATTAATAAAATTCATAAATTTAAATTTAAAATTAATAAAATTAGTTTAATTTTAATTTAAAATTAACACAATTTAATTTCTTCTTACATTTTTATGTTTCATTAAAAATAGTAGATTTCATTAAAAACAGCAAGAACTTTTGGCCCATCCTGTATCTCGATCTGTACAAGATTTTTGGCAAAAAAAATTTCTTTTTTTTCATTTTTTTCATTTTTTTCTTATTCTGATCTAAACGCGCTGTGTTTAAGTGTACGAATCAGTCTCGATCGATTCTCAGCGGGTGCGATTTCGCGTTGGTAATTTTTTAAATAATTAATTCCATCAGATTGGAAGGAAGTAAGAAAATTTGTTTCGTCGATGAACATTTTACCGCAAGTGTGTTGTGCACCGACAAACCTGAACGTTCGACGAGGAAACTGTGGGTTAAAACTGATAAGACGGGCGCTATCGTGCCTGTGTTCGCGTTCTTTATCAGCAGGACCGTTGATAGACCGACCACAGACAATGCCATCGCGCACGTTTTTTTTTTCTTTTTTTTTCAAGAAAACGTCCTGTGTTACGCGTTCGCGCGTCCTTCGGTAAACTCGAATAAACAATTGCAGTATCCTGCGATCATAATTCAATTCCAATATAATTAATTTCAACGCCGCTGATTTGATAAATCGACTCGCGCGTAACGTTGCGAGATATAACAATTGTCATGGGATGCAACGTTGATAGCTCGATTATCGTAGGTGTTGCCTTTTGACAATAAATTGTCCACTGTTTGACAAACTATTCCCGATGATAATGGACGGTTTAAACGAGCATAGGTGTTCGATGAAAGATTGAAAATAACGCTTTGTGACGCTAACGACGAGCATCGGATTATGTTTTTGACAAAGGATTCTCGAATTTTTTCCCCCCATGTGTGTGCACGATTGCCAACTTAAATATAAGAAGTTGCATCTCTAGACCGAAGTGTCACTTTCCTTTGCGAGTGAAAACGTACATAGATACACAATTTATGGTCAACCTCGATGAGAGGTGTAAAAATGTGTCCAGAGAAGAAAGAATAAAATTTATGTTCATTCTAGCCTGAGTTGAAACATTCATCGAGTATATTTGAACTTGGCTAATTCTAGACGTGATAATTGGTAAGAGTATATTAATATTATTATATTTATTAGCATTGGCTAATTCTGAACATGACAGAAAAAGATAATTGGTAAGAGGTTATTCCATGAATATTATAAGTTTAATAAGAATTGTATTGTAGGTTATAATAATATTAATATTAAGTAGTATTATTATATTATATTAAGTAGTATTATTATAAGTTTAATATATTAAGTAGTATTATTATATTATAAGTTTAATAAGAATTATATTGTAGGTTATGATAATATTAATATTATTTATAGGTATTTAATATTATAGGTTATAATAACGAAAGCTTTAAACGAACAAATTTTATTCTTTCTTCTCAACTTTTACATGCTTTTACTCGCCACGAGTTGTGAGACAATCTGTATAATGTGTCAACACGTCTTCTTACAAAGGGAACGAAGAAAATCCAGTAATCATAAGCACGAATTAAAAACCTGTTTAGTATTACGTGATGATTGCGTTTATTGTTCTTGAATGAAATGCGCCGACCAGCTAGCGTGTTGTGCAACCAGATTGTATAAAATTCATCGACACTTTATTCCAGAAGAATATATCGAAATTCTGCGACACGACGGCGGTAAACGACGGTAAAAGTTACAAATTGATCGTTGCTCAGTAGTCGATAGTTAAACGGTTTCGAGGAAGGAAATTGCAATTTCCAGTCGCCATTGAAAATAACACCGAACGACAGTAGTTTCACTTTTGTTGTTCGACCGAGCAAACGTGTAATTTCCTCGGTTTTCCGGGTAAATTCTCAGACGGATAGTGGACCTCGAACTCGATATCAGCCATTTTATGCGAATTAATTTAAAGCCATTTCGAATACCTTTGAAACACACTTTTTTACCTATTTTTGCGCGTAGAATATCCTCGTGTCGATTATTCGCGCCCGTCCAGTATAGAATTAACCAAATTCGAGTATATTCGTCGAATTTTCAAACTCAATTTTCTCGAAAACGAAGACTTTACCGAACAAATTTTATTCTTCTTTTTCGATATAATTTCACGTGCCGAATTACATCCCGCGTGTTAATTATTCTATTCTGTCACGTCCAAGTGAGAATGAAATTTTCAAAAATCAAGCATACTCGAGAAATTTTCAAACTCGATTCTCTTGAAAACGGAGGCTTCAATGAACAAATTTCATTCTTTCTTTTCGACTCATTTTTACATAAACAGTCACCTCCTGCAATTTATTCTTTTTATGTCACGTCTAAAATTTGCCAAATTCGAGTATACTCGATGTATTTTCAAACTCAATTTTCTCGAAAACGACAACTTTACCGAACAAATTTTATTCTTCTTTTTCGACATAATTTCACGTGCGGAATCACATCCCCCTTGTTAATTATTTTTTTCTGTCAAGGTAAAATTTTCAAAAATCAAGTACACTCGATTCACCTGTAAACGAAGGAACAAATCTTTCTTGTGGGACACAAGACGAGACAGAGAGGGAGAGAGAGAGAGAATTCATCACTGCCGGTGGTTCAGATTCGGTGACCTCGATCCCCAATCCGACTTCTCCTTTCACTCTAGCACTTCTCTCGAGAGCTCTTTCTCGCACCTCGGCGCGATTGCATTCTACCGCCGTCCGCCGGAGTAGACCGGCTCGACGTCGCGTTGCCCCGGTCGTCGGACACGAAGAACGCTCAAGATTTCACTTTCGCGTAAGTACCAGTCGGACCAACGCGTCTAGCCAGCCAAACGTTCAGTTTTCGCGGCCGTCGGGGCACCACCGACTCGAGAAGCGCCCTCGTTTTGTCCGGCTACGCGATTACCCGTCTATTTATTATTACGCGCGTGTGTTTGCAACAGAGATTCTGTCAGGCACAGTTGGGGAGTGGATGGCTCTGTGATTGAGGTTTTCAGTTGCAGAAGATCATCGTTGGCGATACCTGGCGACTCGAACAGGGATTTACGTGTTTACATGCAGGCAAGAGGTTTCTCTGGCGAAACGATGCCGAGGACGAAGGACGTCCTGGTGAAGCTGTGTATTCTGCTGCTTCTTTACGAACGTAAGTTGCTCGTAGGTATCCCGTCCTTCGCCTACTTCCGATAGAAATTGTGCTCAAAGATCTCCTCGGCCACAGTCCAATGGACTAGTTACTTCAGATCTTTGCATAAAGATCTGGTTTAACGAGGAAAATAATCGTTTGCCAAAGGGGGGAAAAAAAGTTGTTGATGATAGATTTATTATATATATTGAAGATAGAAAAAATTATTGATGTATAGATTTATCATTGAACATGATTCAAAAAGAGAATCTGAGAATATCATTAATTATGTAATTCTTTTATATAATTTTATATATTTATTCTTTTATATAATTATATTTTTGTATAATTTATATATTTATAATTTAATATAAATGTATTTTTATATAAATTATAATTTATATATTTACAATTCAACATAATTATATTTTTATATAAATTATAATTTATACATTTATACATTTATAATTTAATATAATTGTATTTTTATATAAATTATAATTTATACATTTATAATTTAATATAAATATATTTTTATATAAATTATAATTTATACATTTATAATTTAATGTAATTATATTTTTATATAAATTATAATTTATATATTTATGATTTATACATATATGATTATATACAAATTATAATTTATATAAAAATATAATTATGTCAAATTATAATTACATAAAAGAATTATATAAACTATATAATATCTAAATTATAATTATATAAACTATATAATATTTAAATTATAATTATATAATTTGTATAAAAATATAATTTATATAATTTATATAAAAAGATTATAATTTATATAATTATATAATTATATTTCAGGCGCAACGTGCCTCGTCATTCCGGAGGAATTGCCCACGATACTTTCCTTGGTCTACTCGAACATTCCGCCGATAAAGAAAGGTAACGGAACTGCCAGTATGTCGGACATTTTCGAGACGCAAACTCTCGTCATCGAGTTTAGTTATCGGAAACGTTTCTCCGCGTGACGCGCGAGAGCCACTTTCACTGATCACGCGTGTTTCGCCTCCGCGCGACCGCTTCGAAACGAATCGAATAGACCCGGTTAACTTCGTAGAATTGTGTACTTTTTGCCTTGATTCCGGCAACAGGTACCGACTCGAGGATAGGCGTTGGCTTCCGGCTCGGCGAGCACGCGGATTTTCAGATACTGCTGGAGCTGGGCCCGCAAACGGAGACCGAGTCGATAGGCAATGCTGACTCCAAGAGACGTCGAGACGTGGGTATTCTTTTCTTTCTTTCAATCGTAATGATTCATTCAATCTCGCGATGATTCCTCTGTCCTTCGAACAGGCGATGTTGAGCGCCGCGATGAAGGGAGAGCTTGGCCCGTTGGCTCAAGCGGTGGCCAAGTATCAGCTGGAGCGCAAGTTGCAGAAGGAACTGGAGAAATCGAAGAAGACTGGGGAGAAATTGAATACCGTGGTCGTGCCAGGGAACGACGATAAAAAAGTAAATTACTAGTTAATTGTTTCTCTTTATCTTTTATTTAGAGAAAGATGAAAATAAAACGACTTTTCTTCTTCAGACCGCGGCCAGTGAGTGGCTGACAAAATGGAGCAAGGAAATGGGGGAGGATAAACCGTCCTTGGACGACGTTTCCGCTGAAAGGGACAATGTCGACGTTCGCGATAAGCCGGCAGTGCAAAGGATAGGTCAGCCTCCAGTACCGAATGACAAGAGAAACGCAATCTCCGACTTGAAGAAGCTGTACGAGTCGCGAAACGACACGGAGACAGACAAGAGAGCCATTAAATTCTGATGGATAAACTGCTGATCAACTGTGCGTGTGATGAAAAGTGAAAGTAATGAAGCGCGCCAAAAGGCTAAACTGATTAACGTTTCAGATGCCAAAGAATTTTGAACCTGCACACAGGGGAAAGCGTGTCGAACCGTGAAAGCTTCTAGCCTTCTCTGGCGAGAAATAAATGTAATTGTTGATACAAAAGATACGAAAACGACATTACTAATCGTAATATATTCGTTCGTGTTGATTCAATGCGTGATATTCAAAATTATGGTTGGGGACGGGATGTTATACACGAGGTATTTGCAAACAATTTTGAAAAACTCTATTGAAAAAATAGTATAAGTTACTATTTGTATTTTTTGTTTTGACTTTATTTCTCTAACAATAAGTCGAATAAATTGCGAGACCTTTTCTTGAATACTTGTCTTGGCTTATTTTTTTCGAAATTTGATTAGTTTTGTGATCCTTAATCAATGGATTTGATCCAACGAGTCAAACGTGGCCAAACATTGACATTTCGTGATTTCCTTATCATTTTCGTGTCACATCCTACCATATCGATCTAAACAAATCAAACAATTTTCTGATTTTAATTCCTGTTTATTCCAGTAGCGCTGCGGTACAAAGCCTCGTTCAAATCGGTACGACAGGATATGACACAAAAATGGTAAGAGGATTTTGCGATCCCGAAAGCGTGAGATAAAAAGACACATTATAGTGATAGACCTATTTATATACCTCGTTTATAATCTGTTAGTCTGTGGTTCGTATATCTCGTTCGTGGTTAATAATCTGAAAAGATGTACGTTTTTATCGACAGTAGATAACAATTACCCTGCAACTGCATTTAAAGTTTCCGTTTTTTACCGCTCCAACATGGCGGAGGTCATCGCGCAATGGCTCCCATGTGAAAGAGTCGAGGTGACGTGTCTCGTGTCTCCTATTTTCCAGTTTCCCGGCAGCGGTTTGACGAAATGAATGCGTTTAAACGCGACAAGAAGGAAGAAGAAGACGGTAATCATAAATAAACATCGTTCCATTCGTATTATTGTAAATTTGAGCCCTCAAGCGAGTGTAAACAGATCGGTATTGTTTTTGTGACAGTTCCTTGTAAACAGGTTTAGGCTGTTGTGGAAGATAATTTTCCCTCGATGAATTTCTTTATTTCACGTATCTCGACTTCCAATCGCAAACTTACACGTACTTTCCCAGCAACTGATATATATCTGAACGGTAAATTTCATTGCATGTTTGCTTACATGATTCTTGTCTCGATAGGTGGGGGAAACCCTTTCCAAAACCTGGAGAAGACAACCGTCCTACAGGAAGCTCGCACCTTCAACGACACTCCGGTTAATCCAAGAAAATGCGCGCACATTCTCACGAAAATTCTGTACCTACTGAATCAAGGAGAACAGTTAGGTACAATGGAGGCGACAGAAGCGTTCTTCGCCATGACCAAGTTGTTTCAATCCAGAGACGTTGTCCTGCGAAGGTTGGTCTATCTAGGTATCAAGGAACTGAGTTCCCTGGCTGAAGATGTAATCATAGTTACCTCGAGTTTGACAAAGGACATGACAGGGAAGGAAGATTTGTACAGAGCTGCTGCCATAAGAGCATTATGCACCATCACTGACGGTGGAATGTTGGCAGCTATAGAACGTTACATGAAACAAGCCATCGTAGATCGTTCCCCTGCTGTTTCCAGCGCGGCTCTAGTCTCTTCCTTGCACTTGACCAACGTCTCTGGCGACGTTGCACGCAGATGGGCGAACGAGGCTCAAGAGGCATTAAATTCTAATAACGTGATGGTTCAGTATCACGCGCTTGGTGTCTTGTATCAAGCACGCAAAGCAGACAAGCATGCTGTAATTAAGTTAGTTGCTAAGCTTATGAGAACAAGCCCAAAAAGTCCTTACGCAGCGTGTATGTTAATCAGAATGGCGTGTAAATTGTTAGATGAAGTTGACAAAGGGGACGAACTGTTGGGATTTATCGAATCTTGTTTACGCCATAAGTCAGAAATGGTGGTGTACGAAGCAGCACACGCGTTGATCAATCTTGGAAGAAGCTGCACGAAAGAAATAACACCTGCTATCAGCGTTCTTCAGTTGTTCTGCGGATCTCAAAAGCCAGCCTTGAGATTCGCCGCTGTCAGAACCTTGAATAAAGTTGCCATGTCTCATCCAACGGCAGTCACTGCGTGCAATTTGGATTTAGAGAATTTAATCACCGATTCGAACAGATCCATCGCCACACTGGCAATTACCACTTTATTAAAAACTGGGGCGGAAAGCTCGGTAGATCGACTGATGAAACAGATTGCTACCTTTGTGTCAGAAATTTCAGATGAATTTAAAGTCGTCGTTGTACAAGCTATAAGGTAACGTTATTTTCATGTAGTTTTATATGTCGGTGATGTACGTTGTACTATATTGTGTACCTTTATTCCTTTAATAGAGCTCTGTGTCAAAAGTATCCGCGGAAACATGCAGTTTTAATGAATTTTCTTTCTGCTATGCTGAGAGACGAGGGAGGACTCGAGTACAAAGCAGCAATCGCAGACACGATAATTGCCGTTATGGAAGTGAACGCCGAAGCGAAAGAGGCCGGTTTAGCTCATCTCTGCGAATTTATCGAAGACTGCGAGCATAACTCGCTCGCCGTTCGTATCCTTCACTTACTCGGCCAGGAAGGGCCAACTTCGAAACAACCGTCGCGATACATTCGTTTCATTTACAACCGTGTGATTCTGGAAAGCGCCAGCGTTCGCGCAGCCGCGGTCACCGCGTTGGCACGTTTCGCAGCAGCGTGTCCTCCGTTACTACCAAACGTGCTGGTTCTTCTGTCCCGTTGCCAGTTGGACTCGGACGACGAGGTCCGCGATCGCGCAGCGTATTACTGTGCCATTTTACAACAGCAAAACGAACCGACTATCTTGCCTCTAGTGCAGCCTCCTCTCCTGTCTGTACCTAGTTTGGAAAGAGCTTTGCGAAATTACATGCAAACACCGATGGACGAACCGTTCGATATCTCGCAGGTATTTATCGTTTAACCATTTTCAAAAGTACGAAGGTATTCAAGGGCTTTGTCAATTTGTCTCTTCGTGTACGTGTTTCAGATTCCACCAGCGCAGACGGTCGAGGAACCGACACAAGTGGAAGTGCACACTACCGTGAAGCAACAGCCCCGACTAACGCGAGAGGAGAGCTTCATGGAGAAATTGTCGCAAATACCACATTTGACCATGATCATTCGTGATTCCTCGTTGCTCAAGTCTTCGCCAGTCTTTGAATTAACGGAATCGGAAACGGAGTACAACGTCAAATGCATCAAGCATACGTTCACGGAGTTTCTCATTTTGCAATTCGACTGTGTAAATACTCTTTCCGATCAGTTGCTCGAGGATGTAAGAGTAGCTGTCGATCCACCCGAAGGGTAGTTACCAATTTATCTCCTTGAAAGATCGCACTTCCTCCTTGAAAGATAATGCTTTCTCTGTTTTTTTAGCTACACGATCGTGTGCGAAGTCCCGTGCCCTCGTTTGCCGTACAACGAACTAGGTACAACGTATACAGTATTAAGATATCCGGAAGACGTTCATGCTAGTGTTGCTACTATTCCTACAACTCTGCGTTTCATGGCTCGCGATTGTGACCCTGCGACCGGTGTCCCAGACGCTGATCAAGGATACAACGATGAATACATGGTGCACATTTTCTGCATACTTTTGAGATTCTTCTCTCTTTGGCTATTAATATTATATTAAATTTTACTTGCTTTCACGTAATGTTGCAATAAGTTCCTCGCTAGAAATAAAAGACTTGACGATGTTAAAGACATTTAAAATGTCGTGATTTTTAGTTGGAAGATTTGGAAATAACTTTGGCCGATCAAGTTCGTGGAATCGGAAACAGGGGAGTAGATTTTAACGCTGCGTGGGAAGCGGCTGGTGCTAAAGGATTCAACAAGCTGGAGGAGACGTTTGCTCTAGGCTCGTCGGTGACCAGTTTGGAAGGGGCGATTCAGAGTCTCACGGGATTTTTAGGCTTGGATGCTGTAGAGCGAACCAATCGAGTACAGTCCGGCGCTGCTGCGCATAATTTATTATTGAGTGGCATTTTCAGAGGCGGGAAAGAGGTTCTTGCCAGAGCAAGGCTAGCGTTGTCGGACAATCAAGTAACGATGCAACTCACTGTTTTATGTCAAGATCCAGACGTTGCCGAATTAATTATGTCTTCTGTAGGATGAATTATTGTCATTATCATGTATTACAAACTTTTTATTTTTAATATTAACAGGTATAATTGTTATGTAAAACATAATACGAAATGGGACTTTTGTTAAATCCCTGTTTCTATATGTAATACTTTGTACATAAAATCATAAAAGAATTCTGTAAACAATTTCCCTTAAAATATTTATTTTATACGATAATATTCCTTCTCTGTACTAAGTTTGAATCTATTAATGACATTGATTGGTATAATTTAGATGTTTTTTTTTTTTTTAGGATTTTTTTCTTTATATGTGTAATTAGCTAAGATGGAAACACGTAATTCATTAATCTTTATTTGATCGACCGATGAAGATATATCCTACAAATATGAACATCAAACGAAACAGATGATTAATTTTCAAATATCGAGAGATATTCTTGCGCCGGAATGACGGGTTACGCACGTCGGGAATTTTTCTCCAAAAATTGCAATATTTTCTTAGTTTGAAGTATATTTAAGTATAACCAAATATACAAGCAAAACAAATAATAAATTTTGTTATTTCTCAATCATTTCTATCCAGTAATATCATACCGACGAGTTATTGTATACGATTTTGGTCACTCGTTATGGTCCGCAATCAGTTGCCAGCATAATTTAACCTCTTACGCTGGAACGACGTGCCGCGCACGTCGAGAATTTTTTATCCCAAAATTGCAGTATTTTCTCACTTTTAAATATATTTAAGTATAACCAAATACACAAGCAAAACAAATGATAAATTTATTACTTCTCAATCATTTCTATCCAGTGGTATCATACCGACGAGGTTGAACAGAAAGCGACGAATTATTGTATACGAGTTTCGGTCACTCGTTATGGTCCGCAATCAATTGCCAGCGCAAGTGGTTAAGCGACAATTTTAAAAAGTAATATCACGTTTGAACAGACGCTGAATCGCTTGTTAATTACATTTTTTGATTAAAGATCTTCTGTCGTTTAATGTTTGATTTCCTCTGATGCCCGGATATATAGGCGATCGGAATAAAATTTGCTGCGTTGTAACAGAGAATTCGGTCCAGTGACATTCGTGATCCATGACATATATTATAGATTCCAGTTTCCACCGGAAACATATATATCATGTTACTTCTATGCATGAGATACCTACGATCGTATAAGTATCGGAGAATCATACGTCCCGACATCATCGAACTAACGATTCTAAAGAACGACTCTCACCTGAAACAGTTGCGGTTTTACCTCTGCCGGTCGTACACGTGTTTTACTCCTGTCGTATCAACGCCGAAATTTCCTCTGTCTAACAAACGGAAAGTTAGCCATTTTGTACGTATATAATTTTATCTAGTACGTATGACTATTGTCACAACGAAATGACAACGATTTTAGAAAATGAGTATCACTTCAGATAACAATAGAGACCGTTATCGCGTTTTATCGGTTGATAACTCGATTAATAGATTCGAGTAGATTTCTTGTAATATCGATAATATTAACAATTTCTCTCGATAGAGTAGCTAGTCTCTTCCAAAGTATTATCGTATAATATATAGTAAAGAATTATTTTACATTTGATTATATTATATTATATTATAATATAATGTATTTATTATAAAATTATTTATAATTATATAATATTTATAATTATATTGTATTATATAATATTTAATTATTTAATTATATAATTTTATTTAATAATAATATATATAATTATTTAATAATTATATATAATAAATAAATAATAAATAATTATATATAATAAATAAATAATAAATAATTATATATAATAAATATTTAATTATATATAATAAATAATATATATAATTATTTAATTATATAATTATATTATATTATAATATTTATTTAATTGTATTATATTATATTTAATTGCTGAATTTCGCGAAAAATTTACACAAGAATTCATATGACATTGCACGTAAGCGCGTCGTTTGTTTAATAATTTATTTTTCCTTTCATAATAGGTAGATAAGAAAAATAGTGGCGCTCACGAAGAAGAACGACTTCTTCGGTTAGTTTCAAAATGACAAGATATCGAAGTCTGTTGAACTTCTACCTGCTGGGTTACGTTTGTTTGTTCGAACTTGTCGCGGCCGATGCACCAGCGGTAAAAATTAAGAATGGCACGTTGTCGGGTTTGACTATGAGGACAAGAAAAGGCCGAGAGTTCGCCGGATTTCGAGGGATACCGTACGCGCTTCCGCCCCTTGGCGAACTCAGATTCGAGGTAAATTCAGCAATTTCTTTCAACATTCTCGTAAGTTTAATACGTATTTAGTTTAGATTAAATTAATCTTTAATCAATTACTTCAGATTAATTTGGTTTAGATAAAAATCGTATTTAGTTTAGATTAATTACTTTCATAATTTTTGTTTTCCCATTAACCTAGAGTAAAATGGTCAAAATGACTAATTTATAATTTTCCATAGAAAATCTTATATATTTTTAACGAAAATTTTATATATTTTTACAGACTTTAGTCACTGTTAGTGACTGAAATATACAAATAGAAGCTTGTGGTATTCTACATTGTGTCATAAATTTTTTTCCTTTTCCATGCAGTTTGATTTCGTTGCTGCAAACTTTTTTACTTTTATAGTCACTCTAGTTCTCCATTTTGTCGTAAAACTTTTTTACTTTTATAGTCGCTCCAGTTCTCAATTTTGTCGTAAAACTTTTTTTTTCGTCACTGAAATATCTCTTTGCATGAATATGCAAAGTTCGAAATAAAACAACTACTTTTGCTTGGCGTTTTCACCGTTTCGCGAGTGATAGGTACTTTTTCAGCAAATGCGTTGATGTATCGACGACGAGTACAATGAGGTTCACTATAAATTACATATATGAAAGATCTTTCAGTAGATACAATTGAATTATATAAAAGTTTCTCTGATATTTTCCTCAACGTTGTCCATTAAATATGCCTGAGTTCTCGATATTCGACTGTAATAAGTTAAGCAGGAGTTTCAAGAACGCATAACACCATTATTTTTACCTAAGAGCTAAAAACTTATTTCTCACAAATGCGTCGAATGATACAACTTAACATATAGTTACGACAGCCAGGCGAGCACATTAAACTGCCTGTACAACTTATCGTAGATTATGTGCAGTCACTTGGGCTTGTTATTTATGCACATCATATTCATTAATGTGATTGCGTTTATAGTACTGTCTTCATTCATATTCAATATTACTATTACGTTTTTCACCTATGTCTCTGTTTCGTATAAAAAATACCTTTAAGTTCTAGTTATAAAAAACATTAGTTATGTGATAGTTATATACTAGTTATATAATATATCAAGAAAAGAAAAAACATTTAACTCGTTTGTATACATGCTCACTAAATCCTGATTAACTTCTTAGTTAATTGTGGTGTCGCTTTCACACTCGTCAAACTAGTTAGAACTGGTCGAGTTTAGTCTCAAAATGTTCTAAAACGTCCAATGTATTTACAAACGTGTTTTATTTTCCGCAAAAGATTTAATTTAACCTGTTGCGTTGGCAACTGGGTTCGCGGACCGTAACGTAAGCCCAAACTGTACACAATGACACGTATAGCTTTCTTTTTGAACTTGGAATGATATCACTGAATAGAAATTACTAAGAATAATAATATAAACAACAATAATAATAATAAATTTATTATTTGTTTTGCCTGGGTCATATTTAAATATACTTAAAACTAAAATATTGCAACTTTGGCACGTCATTCCAGCGCAAGAGGTTAACAAATTGTAATTATTTAGAGCTAGTCGTTTTAGTTTTAAAATATTTAGAACTAATCGAGTCTAGCCTCAAAATGTTCTAAAACGTCTAATATATTTACAAATATGTTTTATTTTTTGCAAAAGATTGAATTTAACCTCTTGCGTTGGTAACTGGGTTCGCGGACCGTAACGTAAGCCCAAACTGTACACAATGACACGTATAGCTTTCTTTTTGAACTTGGAATGATATCACTGGATTGAAATTACTAAGAATAATAATATAAACAACAATAATAATAATAAATTTATTATTTGTTTTGCCTGGGTCATATTTAAATATACTTAAAACTAAAATATTGCAACTTTGTTACGTCATTCCAGCGCAAGAGGTTAAGTAACAAATTGTAATTATTTAGAGCTAGTCGTTAGTAGTTTCAAAATATTTAGAACTAGTCGAGTCTAGTCTCAAAATGTTCTAAAACGTCTAATCTATCTACAAATATGTTTTATTTTCCACAAAAGATTTAATTTAACCTCTTGCATTGGCAGCTGGGTTCGCGGACCGTAACGTAAGCCCAAACTGTGTACACAATGATATGTAGCTTTCTTTTTGAACTTGGAATGATATCACTGGATAGAAATTACTAAGAATAATAATATAATAAACAACAACAACAATAATAATAATAATAAATTAATATATTTATTATTTGTTTTGCCTGGGTCATATTTAAATATATACTTAAAACTGAGAAAATTTTGCAATTTTGGCACGTCATTCCAGCGCAAGAGGTTAGGTAACAAATTACTTTCCTAGCGCGACGAGTATTGCACAAGAAATTGTCATTTATTCATAACGCTGAGCATACTCGTCATTCACTCACCTAAGAGTTTAATAGATCAAAAATTTCTATGTTTCTGTCACAGACAGAGTAACAACGTTTGTTTATAGGCACCAAAACCAGCAGCAGCTTGGAGTGGAACACGATCAGCCAAAGAAGACGCCCAGATATGTACCCAAAGGAACATCTACACCTACGACGACATGATCGTTGGCGGCGAGGATTGTCTTTATCTGAACGTCTACACGCCGAAATTGCCCACCGAAGACGACAGACTGAAGGGAGGATATCCGGTTATGATTTGGCTCCATGGCGGCGGATGGGTCACTGGCGCTGGCCACTCGGAATTTTATCACCCGAAATTCTTATTAGATCACGATGTGGTCCTCGTTACCGTGAACTACAGGTATCGAGAAAAAGCTTTCGTGTTCAATCGATATTGAAATTAATAGTTCCTTTCGACAGGCTCGGGCCACTTGGATTCCTGAGCACGGAGGACACGACGTGTCCCGGAAACAACGGGCTAAAGGATCAAACAATGGCTTTTCGATGGGTGCACGAAAATATAGCAGCCTTTGGCGGTGATCCAAATCGCGTGACCATTTTCGGGGAGAGCGCAGGCGGCTCCAGTGTTCATTATCACATGATGAGCGATTTGTCGAAAGGTGAGTAATTTGTCCAATGATCGTGTCTGATCAATTGTGTAAAACACGCGATATCTTATTGTCAAGTCCATCCGGATGGAAGAGGAAAGGAAATCGCAGAAGAGGCGATGAACAAGCTCGAAATTGCACAATAGGAAAATATACAAAAGCTGGGAAGAACCAACAGTCATAAATGGTTTTATACGTCAGAACCTGCGTTGCGCCATATCTGACATAATTCTCATTCGAGAGAAGCATTGGAAACCAAAATTTCGTAACAGATAGTATCAGTCAACGCATAATTTGAATGAATTATCGCTTATCAAAATTCCCGGATAAACGGCCGTTTTGCATTCGAGATTAGCTGAATATGAAAGGGAAACACGTAGTCTAGAAATGACCGCTCAAGGTTGGAATTGACAGAAGAAAAAAATCTGATCTCGTTGTCCGCGAAATTTCACGGTCGTCGCGTTAACGATCTGCTCTCGTAAAAAAAAAGAAAAAAAAAAAGATGTTGCATAATATTTTCGTACGTAATTCAAAAACAGGACTTTTCCATCGTGCGATCTCGCAAAGCGGCACCGGCCACTGTCCTTGGGCCCTGACAAGACCAGGCTCGGCGAGCAAACAGGCCGCGAAGATGGCCAAACTTTTGGATTGCCCTTCGAAAAACTCGAAACAGCTCTTGGCCTGTCTGCGCACGAAAGACGCCGTTGACATTATCGCGACCGATCGTTCCTTCCAAGTAAGTGCAATTTTCCTGTCCGTCATTAACTCCTGGAAGTTTGCTCGAAAACGACAGATTACATAGAGAAGAAATGTATTGATAATTCAAAATTAACTTCTTGCGCAGGAATGACGTGCCACGCACGTCGAGAATATTTCGCCCAAAATTGCAATATTTTGTCAGTTTTGAGTTTTATATTGAAATATAACCCAGGCAAAAAAAAAAAAAATAATAAATTTATTACTTATTAAATAATAAATTTATTAATAGTTCATTAACTTATTAATAATTTGCTTATTAAGTAATAAATTTATTAACAACTTGTTAATAGTTTGCTTATTAAATGATAAATTTATTAATAGTTTATTAACTTATTAATAATTTGCTTATTAAATGATAAATTTATTAATAGTTTATTAACTTATTAATAGTTTACTTATTAAATAATAAATTTATTACTAATTAGTCATTTCTATCCAGTGATATACCGATGAATTCAAAAAGAACACGAATTGTTGAATACGGTTGGGTCACTCGTTATGGTCCGCAATCAAGTTGACGGCGCAAGAGGTTAATTAATGAAAAATGAAAATTATATAATGTTCCAATTGAAACACGAATTCCATGAAATCGAGTTAGATAAAAAAAAAGATTGATCCATTTGCATTTTATATTCAATTATTTTAACAATAGAAAAATATAGTCCTATAAAAAAATTATTATTTGAGAAATATAAATGTCTTGTGATATTCTGAAGTAATTAAAGTAAATGTATCATTTCACTATAATTAAATACTTCAGTTAATTTTGGATGTGATATATCAATTTCAGTTGATGAAGAAATAATCATATAGAGAAAAAAACCAATGACACCCTGAGGTGTTATAATTTCTAGTTTAAATTACAGTTTATCGCTGGCAATTGATCATTCTTCGATGCTTTGATCAATATATCAGTACGTTCGCCTGTATCACATTAAACGTGATAACCATATATATTTCAGCTACATAACAGGTATCCGTTCGGTTATGATTCGTTCTAATTAATCATTTTGCGCTAATAATGATACATATTCCACTTCCTTTGTTGAACACACAATAGGCAAACTGGTACAATTAATACACCTTTCTATCTGGCGATACATATCTTTTGCGATATCTGTCACAGTTATTAATTGATATCATGCCTCGACATTGAAACCACGTTTAAAACTACGTAAATTAATTCTTATTATATAAGTAACGTAGCCACGTTACTTATATGTTATACGCATGCCTCTCGATAACTGGAACGAGTAAAAATGCAGCCACTGTGTGTATTATGGCTATTTCGTAACGTGTAATGGCTAACTAGACACGTCTTACGTTCCTACATTTTCCCGCCTCGATTTTTATGCATCACTGACGAATGTTTCTCATTCATTATCATTGCGTACCCACGGTAGGTATTTTCAAACCTCCCGAGCGAGTTTTTCCGTCTCGGATGTTTGTTTTCCTCGTTACAGATGCAAATAGGTCTGACAGTTATGCTCGTATGCAACGCGAGATGTACTTTGCTATTATGATAACCGCGATTTACGTATATTCATATTCAGTTACGAAACTGAAGTTAAACCGGCTAAAAATTAAAAAACCTAACCTAAACTTTGCGATGGCAAACTCGTTACGTAGAAAAAATTGGAAAACCTGCACGACGCGCATCATTATTCACGCATGCGCAATGTCTTACCGTCCTAACTTGTCAACTGGGGAAACCAGTTTTGTCTCACGCTGTGCATAGTCAATCATGTGTACGTTTTATGAGACAAACAAAGATACTTTGGAAGAAATTTTCACGGTTGAGACGAAAATGCGAGACGTAGATAGAATTGGGTACGGCAAGAAAGTGTGTGCTGTGGCCCAGGACCGAAAGAGAAAGTTCATGCAAATGAAACGAATGAATTTGAAACAGAATTTTCTACCTTCGAGACGAGACGTTGCACGTGCGAACGTGTTTTGCCGTGGAGAGTGGCGCGTTAACCTTGCTTGATACTTTGACGCTGTGATTTCTCTCCTTCTTAAAATCGCACGATGAAAAAAAAAAGGAAAAAATCAAACGACGAAGTAGATTTAAGTTATTATCGCCGTGCATTGAGGAAACTCGAATCTTGAACGTTTTGAAAACTGAGACGCTGCGATTGCTCAAGGACGTACAATGAAAAAAAGAAAACTCAAGTTATTATTGCCGTGCATTAAAAAAAGTTCGAGTCTTGAACATTTTGATAACTCGTTTGGAATGATACAATAATGTAACAGAGTGCAACTTTCAACCATACAGTATTCTAACCATAGTAATTATAAAATTTTGCTAAAGTAGGCTGTTTTTACTTTCTGTTAGGTATTTAGTTACTCTCCAATGATACCCTTCAGACCTGTAATCGAACCTGTCCAACCTGGTGCTTTCTTGACGGGAGAACCCGCATTTTTGACCAAGCATGGACATTTGCTGGATATACCGTGGATGACAGGGGTCACGTCCCAAGAAGGAGCTCTCAAAGCACCAGGTAGCACTATGTGTCCAGTTTTAAACCTCAACCATGCTAAACAATAATATGATAATCAAATAATTTAATCAAATAATTAATATAATAATATATAATATATAGTATATATATAATTTATTATTAGTATATTATATATAATATATTATATTTAATACATTATATATTTTAATATATTACTAATATTAATGTAATATATTATTTATATATTATGTATAATTTAATGTAATAATATATAATATAATTATAAAAATTATAATTGTAATATATTTATAAAAAAATTAATTTAAAATATAAAATATAAAATATTACATTAAAGTGTATAAAGTATATATAATTTAATATAATAATATATGTAATTTAATATAATAATATATAATACAAAATATTGGTATATTAAAGTTGCTCTTACAACGTACAACTTCACGGTTGCTATAAATTCTTGATTTAAATTCTCAGTCTAATTTTCTTTCGTTAGGATTGTACGGACGAAAGAACGGAGAGTTGGTTAAGAAGTTGGACAAGGATTTTTTGAACATCGCACCGATAACGTTGCTGTTCGAACAGACATGCCCCGAGGGCGAAATGAAACGCGTGACTTCCGAAATACGAAAGTTCTATTTCGGCGAGTCACCGATCGACAATTCCACACGATTCAACCTGGTCGACGTGAGTTCTTCAGCCACGAAGAATTTTATCTCTGAACAAACAAATTTAAATATCTCGTTTTCCTCGCCTGAAGGCGAAACTTAAGGCGAGGAGATTGAAAATGATCTGACGGATCTGTAATTTTCTACAATTATTTTTGGAATGTGATAACAGCGACTAATGGTATCCTTTCTCGTTACAGTAATATCGCGTGTTTAACGTACCTAAACGTACCGGTATTTTATACATATGTACAGGGTGATTCACGTGATTTGCACACCTGAAAGTTTTAAATTATGAAATACAATAGAAATTGTTTAATACAATAGTGGCATGATTTTAAGGCAGGCAGAATATAGCGTATCAATCTTTTGTTGTGCGTTAATGGGTTTCGAAATTTTCAAGGTCACCTCTATCTTTTTTAAATTAAACTATATATTTTTTGAATTCTAAGTAAAAGAAAAGTATTAAGTCACATTGGTACTAGACCTGATAGTTAATTTTTATGATCATTAACGTCCTTGGAAATTTTGCAACTCACAAAAAATTGATACGCCACATTTTGCTATGCAACTTTCGTATTAAACAATTTTTTCATTGAACGCATAACTTGAAAGTTATTTCATTTTTTGTGCAAGTTACGTGAATCACCCTGTATATATCTATCTTATATTGTAATCGGTCAGATCTCTTTACAAAAAGGAATACAGGTAATTGTCAGATAATAAGAAGAAAAATTAAATCTTTTTCTAACGAAGGCAAGAACTCTAGCAGAATTTTAAATCTCAAATTTTGAAGTGTACGTTTAGTATTGAACGATCGAAATATTTTACAGATGTACAGCGACGCTTGGTTCACTTACGCAGCTCACACCGCGATACGCGACTATTTTGAGAAACAGTCATCCCCCATCTATTATTATTATTTCGCCTACAGAGGAAGCGCATCGTTCAGCAGGATATTCGGCGATCGCAACCAGAATTACGGTGTGTCGCACGCGGATGAGCTTCAGTACTTGTTCCCCGTCGGGGAACAATTGTTCAAAGACACGCCACTGAGCGAAAAAGATCACGAGATGGTCGACATTATTACGAGCATTTGGTACAACTTTGCGAACTCTGGGTAAGTTTCTTCGATAAGATTACACACACACACAGGTACAAACGAATTTTGTATAATTAACTTTTTATAATTTTAAAATTTTGTAATTTTATAACTTTGTAATTTTATAATTTTATAATTTTGTAATTTTGTAACTTTATAATTTTATAATTTTGTAACTTTATAATTTTATAATTTTGTAATTTTGTAACTTTATAATTTTATAATTTTGTAATTTTGTAACTTTATAATTTTATAATTTTGTAACTTTATAATTTTATAATTTTATAATTTTATAATTTTATAATTTTGTAACTTTATAATTTTATAATTTTATAATTTTATAATTTTATAAATTTGTAATTTTATAATTTTATAACTTTATAACTTTATAATTTCGTAATTTTATGATTTTATAATTAACTTTTAGCAATCCTACGCCAGAAGTGTCAGGACAGATACCCAAATGGAAACCCGTGAGAACCCGGGCATTCGAGTATTTTCACATAGGACAGGACGACGTTCGAATGTCGGAGAATCTTATACCGGAGAGAATGAAGTTCTGGGAAGATTTGCCGATACGAGCGGGCATTGACAACAATGGCGTGCTCAATCAACAGAAGGACGAATTGTAACACGTGTGTCTTCGTTTGGAACTGCGTACGTGTCGTCGAGGATCGTAAAATCTAACGTGCACTTTAGACACGATCGTCGCACGTCAACGGAGGAGTATTGAAGAAAAACAACGCGCACGATCGTATCGAAGTCACGTGTCGGAGAAACTCGTTAAAAGTGAAATGTAATATGAAATACAACCAGCAGTTCGCCATTTGCACGCACACGGTGAACGTGTTACTTATGTATAATACATATATGTATATATAAACGTTTTTTAGCATACATATTCGTACACAAATACGCAATGTCAGATAACGTTTGATCAGAAATGTGCATTGTTAGAAATAGAAAGTAACAAGCCGTTTATTTTGTATTCGAACGCCTCAACGTTCCTACTCTTTCCTGTTGGCCTTCCTTCGCTTCTCATAGTCTTCGCGTCGAGTTTTCGTCGGTGTGGAGTCGAAGGTGATCGGTAACTGGAACTTTGACGGTGACAATTGCACGGCCATGCAAGCTATGGAGTAATTTTCCGGGTAACAAGCCTGGAATATCTCGAATCTGCTCTTGGACAGTTGTTCGTACGGCAGTTGATACAGCGTTTGAAAATCCAACCTGTTGGCTGAAAGCAGGTCTTAGGAGATAATCTAAGCCGTAAGGGGGAACGTACCGATAGTTTGGGCAGCGTCGGAAGTGAATTGTCCGACGCAGGCAGTGGCGAAGTAGCTGGCCCGAGCTACGCAAGAACGTAGCAACGCGGTGCCGACGCCGTTGTTTTGATGATCATGCTTCACACAAAGCACGTCGACGCACACGAATCTGTCAGCGTTCGTTACCTCGTAGAACCGAGCTTTTCCAACGACGTGATTTCTCAGCAACAGAATTTGATGCAGTGTCTCTCCTTGCTGCGGACGGAAAGAAGATTATTTCCACGAAAAAACGCGATAAGTTTAACCACTTCTGCTGGCAACTGATTGCGGACCACAACGAGTGACCGTGTACAATAATTCGTCGCATTCTTTTTGAACTTGTCGGTATGATCTCGCTAGATAGAAATTATTGAGAAGTAATTTAACAAATTTATTATTTGTTTTGCCTTCTTGGATTCTTCTTAAATATACTTTAGACTGAGAAAGTATTGCAATTTTGGAACATAAAGTTCTCGACATGCGTGGCACGTCATTCTAGCGTGAGAGGTTAACCACTTGCGCTGGTATCTGATTGCGGACCATAACGAGTGACCGAACCGTATACTGTAATTGGTCGCTTTCTTTTACTTTTGAACTCGTCGGTACATCACTGGATAGAAATTATTGAGAAGTAATTTAACAAATTTATTATTTGTTTTGCCTGGGTTCTTCTTAAATATACTTAAGACTGAAAAAGTATTGCAATTTTGGGACAAAAAATTCTCGACGTGCGTGGCACGTCATTTCAGGGCAAGAGGTTGACAGCTTAAGCGTCATAAACGTGTCTGAACCTACGTTTCAATCTCTTCCATTCGCGTTGCAAAAATAAATGTGCGATCTTTACTAAATTTGCTAACCAGTAAAATGAAATTAAATTAAATTAAATTTCTTTGTTGACAACTTACAATTAAAAATTTCGTCCTTGAAGAGGTTGAACGACGTTTAATTCTAGTACTTTTGCTAAAATTAATTTCAATTACGCGACATAATGTCGCATACTTCTGTCATAGTTAACGACGTTGCCCATACCTCTTTCTTAACGAACCACTGGGATTTTTCAAACGTCGAGGCAACAAGCACACCTACAAGATCATTGGTCCCTTCTTGAAGGGCACAGAAGCTGATCGCCTGCTCCATTTGTTCGAAGACCTTGTTCGTGAACACCTTCACGGACACGGCGTCGTCGTACAAACCGACGGCCTTGAACAACGGCTCCGTTTGACAGAAATGGGTCTGAAACACGAGTAATCCTGCTCTGATTAATCTGAAGCTTAACGTTTTATAGTTATCCTAGACAATTTCTTCGTAGTATTGATCTCTCACAGGATATACATAAATATAAATGTATAAGTAAATTGAGAAAGAAACAAATTATTGATATACAGATAAATATTTTAATATAAAAATATAATCTACTTAACTTACATAAATATATATATTTACAAATATATCATGGGAAACATTAGAATATAAGTATATCATAATTGAATATATTATAGTATTTATATTTATATATATATTTAAATATTTATAAGTATATCATAATTAAATATATTATAGTATTTATATATATATTTATGCAATGATGATTCGAACAAAAATTCGCTCTAAAGTTTAAATTATATCTCCTAAACTTTTACATTAATTTTAAATTTTATCTTTTAAATATCTTTCAAGCTGTACTTCGGACGACGATGTACTAGTACAAAGTGCAGCGCTTGCAGGTATCTATTTAATTGAAGGTCGATGATTCGATAACCGGCCGACACTCTCTCCCACACCATAGACGCATCTGAAGAGGGTGAATCATCATACAATCGTAACTTCTTCAATGCCAAAATGCGAAGCCTCAACGTAATGAGATCACTTTCCTTGATCGAGCTTCGTTTCTCACTCCAATCGATCGTCGCTTTCGTACTCTTCCGAATAAACATGTTGCACACAAATCGTATTTCATACGTCTTATTTTGATACTTTCGTTGCTCGAAGATCTCTCTGACAATCGAATTTCAACTAGAAATTTCACCTTCGCTGATTCCAAACTGGCAACGACACGACAATTTTGAAGTTGCTCTGTATCGAACTCGATACAGCCAGATATCGTTCGCAGGCACACGTACATGTACAAGGGATCTTCATAAATTTGTTTACACAGTCTTCTTTTGGAAGAAAATTCTCCTTTTAGAAAATTTACGGTGCGTCGAATCTCTCTGAAATATGAGTCTATCGAGAATGAACGTGATGATGGAAGAGAAAGACGAGTACACGCTAGAAGCGGAGGCGCGAATGAAGGCTCCCCTCGAGTGGTACTCGTCGGCCAAATGTAAGATACTCGACCTGAAGGAGCCGCAGTACGACGAAGCTTTACGTCTGATTAAAGTTCAGCTACAAGATTACGGAGTAGCAGTTCTGTCACGAGATTCTGCGAGAAGTTGTAAGCTCCTTTCGACGTCCACAGCGCCACTTCTTTCGCGAGGAGTCTATGTGCAAGGCGTCCTCATTGCTGGAAGACAAAGCGTCCGTAAACGATTACCTAGCGCTCGTGAGAACGTGGTTGAAGGAAACGACGAGCCTGGTCGCCACCAGCCTTAAATCTGGCCGTCTGATTGGCGTAGCTGTCGCGCGAATCAACAGCAGCCCTGAGAAAACTGACACTTACCATCGTGTTCAGGTATCTGTATCTCGATACTTGCTCGTTTGCTTACTTACAATTGCCAGTCTGTCAGCCAGTAAATCGTCCAACAAATATCCTTTTTTAATCTGATTTTAATTTGTTCGAAAGGAGAGTTCTAAGGCGTGTTAACAATTGCCTAATAATATAACATTATTAGTTAGTATTAGAAAGTTAGTGTTAGTTAGTATTAGGTGGTTAGTATTAGTTAATATTAGTTATCATTAGGTAGTTAGTATTATTAACATTACTTAGTACTAGTTATATTAGTTATTAATACTAGGTTAATATTAGTCAGTATCAGGTGGTTAGCATTAGTTAGTATTAGTTAGTATCAGGTGGTTAATATTAGCTAGTGTTAGTTAGTATCAGGTGATTAGTATTGGTTAGTATTGGTCAGTATCAGATGGTTAGTATTAGTCAGTATCAAGTGGTTAGTATTAGTTAGTAATGGTTAGTATCAGCTCGTTAGTATTAGTCAGTATTAGTTAGTATCAGGTGGTTAATATTAGCTAGTGTTAGTTAGTATCAGGTGATTAGTATTAGTTAGTATTGGTCAGTATCAGATGGTTAGTATTAGTCAGTATCAAGTGGTTAGTATTAGTTAGTAATGGTTAGTATCAGCTCGTTAGTATTAGTCAGTATTAGTTAGTATCAGGTCGTTAGTATTAGTCAGTATTAGTTAGTATCAAGTCGTTAGTATTATTAATATTCATTATTATTAGTCAGTATTATTAATATCAAATAGTATTAGTATTAATATTAGTTGGTACTAGTATCAGGTGGTTACTATTAGTTAGTATTGGTTAGTATCAGATGGTTAGTATTAGTTAGTATCAGGTGGTTAGTATTAGTTAGTATTGGTTAGTATCAGAGGGTTAGTATTAGTTAGTATCAGGTGGTTAGTATTTGTTACTATCCGGTGGTTAGTATTAGTTAGTATTGGTTAGTATCAGATGGTTACTATTAGTATCAGGTGGTTAGTATTAGTTAGTATCAGGTGGTTAGTATTAGTTAGTACCAGGTGATTAATATTAGTTAGTATCAGGTGGTTAGTATTAGTTAGTATCAGGTGGCTAGTATTAGTTAGCATTAGTTAATATCAGATGGTTAGTATTAGCTGGTATTAGTTAGTATCAGGTGGTTAGTATTAGTTAGTATTATTAGCATTCGTTAGTATTAATCAGTATTATTAATATCAGATAGTATTAGTATCAATATTAGTTAGTACTAAGTGGTACTAGTATCAAGTGGTTACTATCAGTTAGTACTGATTAATATTAGTTAGTATTATTAATATTCGTCAGTATTATTAATATCACATAGTATTAGTATTAATATTAGTTGGTACTAGTATCTGGTGGTTAGTACTAGTTAGTATTATTAGTATTAGTATCCGATGGCTAGCATTAATTAGTATCATTAATATTAGATAGTATTAGTTAGTTACTAATATTAGTATTACGTGATTAGTATTAGTATTAGGTGGTCAGTTTTAGTTAGTATTATTAATATTAGTTAGTATTAGTATTTCTTTTTCACGTACATAGATCATCGAAGGGTCAAGCTTGCGCAAGATCATGCATTTGCTGAACACGTTGCTCAAGCAAACGAACGCGCACGAAACGTTCGGCCACCAGGAATATCTCTGCATCTACGTTCTCTGCGTGCATCCGTCTTATCGAGAGAAAGGCGTGGAGACTGCGCTCCTGAACGCGTGCGTGCAACTAACGGTGGCCTTAGGATTGCCAGCGATCGGTGGCCTTTTCACCTGCGGTGCCAGCCAGGCAACGGCGCAGGATACAGGCTTCAGACTTCTTTCGGAGATCCGTTACAGCCAGTGGGTCATCAACGATCGAATCGTGTTCGACGATCCAGGAAGGGGGAACTATTCGGCCGCCTTCATGGGCAAGCTGATACCGCCGGGAGAGCGATCGGACCAAGATGAAACGTCGTCCGTCGATTCTGCAAGCAAACAGGAAAGCTCGATCGTTTGGAAGTAGGATCGTTCAAGGTCGTATGTGGTAGAATATAGTACTCGCGGTTATGATTGAATCAGTTGCAACCAGAGTGCCGGATTGCGTCGTTCCTCGGAAATCGTTACTGTAGAAAAATAAACGTTTCAATTAACGATGCGAGAGAATTTAGAATCACCAAATGCTTTGTGAAGAAAATTGCTAAGAATTGAAGAGAAGTAGAAGAAAGGAACTAAGAATCGTTGGTAATATTAATTAATAAAATTGATATAGGTGCTGTGTAATAATGAACGTGCAATATGTATTAGTAACTAATAAACGGCTTGATAGAATTCTATTAAAAATTCTGTCTGAAACATTTAAATGTAGTTTGCAAGAAATGAAAAGTTATACGTCACTTGTATTACGTCCGGTGTTCCGATTTATTTAAGTAGAATTTTTACATCCTTATATATGCACTTTGTTGTAAGTCAAACGGTATATAAGAAAATAGCTCCAAGCTCAATTCTAAAAGAGCTCGCAAATTAATCCTCTGAAATATAGTTTTTTTAGCTTAAAAGAAAATTTGTGGGAGTTGAAATGCCAGCGCCATTTCGACAGAAGAGTATAACTAAAATCCACTACTGTTTTCGTCGCAGTACTGAGTTCCTTGTTTATTACACCATATACATCTATCCTTATTAAACATTAAATTTTTTACTTGGACACGCATATTCCTGCCATCTGTCAAATCTGTTTAGAATTATCTGGCGAGAAATGTGGTGATGATAATTCCTGCTTTACCGACAGAACTAACGATAACAGAGATAGACGAAGAAAAGAAAGACGCACGTGAAGATTCGTTGGAGGAACACGTCCAGGACAGGATCATTCGTTGTTCATCAGCACTTTGTGTTCATAAAATTTTAAATAAATTATACTTTATTCTACGTGAATTAATAAAAAGGGAAGAAACCGTGTGCTGCCATCTAACGGATTTTCCATTTCAGCCTTTTAATTTCGATCAGATACAAATGGCAGCACTCTATAGAGTAATGTAGTAATTATGATGATAAATAAATTAATATCACAATACGGATAAATAATAACTTCGTAATTAATTTTAGTAATTTATACAAATATTATTAATGTAACAAAATATATAATTATCAATGATAAATATCAAATAACGAAGATTAAATAATGAAAGTTAAATAACGAATGAATAATTAACATGATGATTGCGGTATATATAAATTTCTGTAAATATTTCCATGGTGATATTAAAATTACAAACAATTTTTAAATATTGTATTGTTTATATAAAATACACATCACGATGGAACGATTTAATGAACATAGATGTCGTTAATCTAAATTCTTCGAGGTAGAGGTCGCTGCAATAACGATATATTGTAACGACCGTTACCTCTGCAGAATTGAGATCAGTGTCATCTACTTTCGCCCAATCGTTTTCGCCGAAAGGTGCTTCGTTTCTTTCAATTTGTTGTACGGTGATTGGATTAAATTACCAACAACATACCGTACCTATAGGCTAGAAAAGCACAATTGTGCGACAAGGACAGCAATAAATTTTAGTTTCACCGTTTCACCGCTACGTGACGCTAGTGCTTCCAATGTTTACGAATCGATCAAATTTTCATTCTCAAAAGTGTCTAATCAAAAGAATCAGTGTGTATACTTTTTGAATCGTATCTTTCGAAATAAATGCTTAGCTTTCGTTCTATATTTCGCACGATTTACAAACGGTACGTATGAGAATTTGGAATAGAATCTCGTGCTGAAATTTTACATTTTCACGATCACGATTAATTTGCATTATCCAACAGCATTTCAATGTTAATCCTTTCAACTGTGTCCCCTTCGATTTCGAGCCAAGTTTCGAACGTAATTTATTTACAGGAAAATTATTGGAAAAATTGTTTGGACGAACGTTTTCGATTTAATTTTAGAATTTTAGTCATTTCTTAGGTCAAACGATGCATGGGAAGAGAGCTTAGGCTATAATTAGTCAATTATAATTAAAAATTAGTAAAACTTTGCGTTGAATAGAAGCGTGGAACGAAAAGATAGTCGCACACAGCAGTTCTACGTGATCAGACATGAGAAATCGTGTATCATCCGTTATATAATCGCTAATTGCATTATTATACCCAACATAAATGACGAATTACACGACAAATAATAAAGACTGATTAATTTGGTATTCTGTCACAAACGAGACTGTGCACATTGGCGTACTTTTAACTGTAGAATTCTATATCATTTTCTCACTTATTATTCATAGAACAGTCGAAGGTTTTTTTTCTTAACCACGATCACGGACCGAGATATATGAAGGCCAGCGACGATTTCATGGTAGAATACCTGCATTACCAATAGCCAATATTCATTTCCACGGAATGAATAATTAGGGACAGCGATTTTCATTGTCAGATGGCAGTGGAGCCAACTGGCACGGGTGATACCATTTTCCAAGAATTTCCCGGGGGTCCCTTTTGGACACCCTTTCCTCGTTCATCCCCACTCTTGCCGTTACTTTCGAATTCAGTGTACGAGGGATCGTGAGGGATCGCCCTACGCGAAGGGTGGCTTTGTCGAATGGAGTTTCTCCCTACGCACAGGACGGGAAACCATAATGCCGCCCGGGCAAAGCCGCGCCATTTTGTAAATCAAAGAACCAAAGTGGCTGGCGATGAAAATTCTCGACGTTCCCGCAATAATATTCATTCAACGTTCGTTGCCAGAATTTGGCAAAATTCTGGAAAAACTACTACGTGAGAGAAAAATATCCGATTTGTCAGGAAATGTTCGATTAAAAGGAAATTAATGTCATTTCCCCTTCTATTGTCATCTTTATAAAAATTGATGTTATTCTGCAGTTTTGAATAACATTTTTTCATATTGTGATTTACGTTGTCATCTCCCTTCAACACAAAGTATATATAGTTATGGATTATTAATTTGTCCTAACGAAGATGTATTCGAATTGTCTGTTTAATTAGTGCAGCTCTGTATATATACGATCGCGTGGTATAAATAAGAAGGAAGGGAGGAATATCGTTTTCAGGGGCAACTGTGAAACAAATGATTTCACTGTTGTGACGAAATGTTTATCTTTCTACTCTCAGTCACGCTTATCTAACTATTCTTCGCTATTAGACGAATATATTTCTGGTCGCTTGCGTAACGTTGTCACCTATACTTTTACAGTGTTTTCTTATCGTTAACACGTTACAATCTTGCTTTATCTGACGTTAGAAATTACAGCTGAATCTATCGAGCTGAATACCTCCGACGAGAACTTTTGTTTTTCGTGAGACGTTGAACGTTGGAAATTTATAATACACACAAACTGAACTATATACATAAATGTATGTGACTTTGTTCGAATCTCGAGGGATAATTTTAATACAATTCTGATAATTCCGATAATAACGATCGATTAAATTGAATTTATAATCGTGTTTAAGTTGACAAGTATGTGTATATATTGGGTGCACAATTGAAATAATAAAATGTCATTCGACCTTAAAATTTAATAAACAAAAATCGAAGGAAATAGAGTATTTCTATCAAACGAGCAGTTGTAAAGTTCGATTGTTCACACTTGTTCGTCCCAATCAGTGGCGCCGTCTACAGCTGACAACTAGGCGAGTCGTCGTTTCCTTTACCGCCATTTTCTTTTACACGTGCAGTTAATCTTTCAATTTCCCTCCCAGCGAATTCCACAAAAATACCTTCGAACCATTCGTTCACCAAACGATGTCTATTCGCATTTCTATTTGAAAAATCATTTTTTCCACGAATTTGTAAATATTACAGGTTAGTGCATCAATCAACAAGGAGGCTCTCACACGTCCAGTATATATAGAGAAACAAAACGATGGACAATCGTTGGACAGTCGGTTTGATTTAGTTAAAACGTTCCAAAGAGTGTGCCTCGTACATGAATTCGAAGAACGAACAACGAAGGTCAACTAAGGGCCTGTAGCCTTTGGTTATTAAGACTCGTTTAAGAACACTCTGAAATTTGTTCGCCGAGACTTGTGCTCCGATCGCACGAGCATTGTAAAAACAAAGATTCGATATTATAATAATATATATATCGATATAAAAGAAATATAGAAAAATAGAGAAATTAATTGAATTAGGTAGATGTAAAAAAAGTACAGAGATAATTTAAGATCAAAAATTATACAGGTTAATTAAATTAGGTGGATATAAGAAAATACAGAGATTATTTAAGATTAAAAATTATAAAGATTAATTAAATTAGGTCGATGTAAAAAATTACAGAAATTATTAAAGATCAAAAATTATACAGATTAATTAAATTAGGTGGATATAAAAAATCGCAGAAATTATTTAAGATTAAAAATTATACAGATTAATTAAATTAGGTGGATGTAAAACATTCACAGAGATTATTTAAGATTAAAAATTATACAGATTAATTAAATTAGGTGGATATAAAAAATTACAGAGTTTATTCAAGATAAAAATTAGAAAGATTAATTAAATTAGGTACAGATAAAATTATAGAGATTACTTAAGATTAAAAATTATGCAGATTAATTAAATTAGGTGGATATAAAAAATTACAGAAATTACTTAAGATTAAAAATTATAAAGATTAATTAAATTAGGTGGATGTAAAAAATTGCAGAAATTATTTAAGATTAAAAATTATACAGATTAATTAAATTAGGTGGATGTAAAACATTCACAGAGATTATTTAAGATTAAAAATTATACAGATTAATTAAATTAGGTGGATATAAAAAATTACAGAGTTTATTCAAGATAAAAATTAGAAAGATTAATTAAATTAGGTACAGATAAAATTATAGAGATTACTTAAGATTAAAAATTATGCAGATTAATTAAATTAGATGGATATAAAAAATTACAGAAATTACTTAAGATTAAAAATTATAAAGATTAATTAAATTAGGTGGATGTAAAAAATTGCAGAAATTATTTAAGATTAAAAATTATACAGATTAATTAAATTAGGTGGATGTAAAACATTCACAGAGATTATTTAAGATTAAAAATTATACGGATTAATTAAATTAGGTGGATATAAAAAATTACAGAGATTACTTAAGATTAAAAATTATACAGATTAATTAAGTTAGGTGAAAATAAAAAATTTCGAATAATCAAAGAGCGTAATACAACAATTAACTGTTTCTTCAGCAAGAAACTGAGAAACCCTTTTCTCATTATCACTTATTCACTTGATAAAAAATATTTTGTCCATTTTGAGTTACTTTAGCTTGAAATAGACTAAATAATATTTTTACTCTTT